GTGTATCGTAAAGTTATATTCGGAAAGAATAAACCAGTTTTATTAAGTAAGGACTTGTGTCGCTAAAGTTTCGTCGGAACGAAGTTACGGGAAGTTAATTAACAAACGGAGACGTAACAATATTATATAATTTGTAATTTTCCATATATATAACAACATTATATAATTGTTTATTTGTTTGTTGAATTTCGCGCAAAGGCGCTCGAGGGCTATCTGTGCTAGTAGTCCCTGATTTTCAAGTGATAGACCAGAGGGAAGTCAGCTAGTCAACACCACCCACCTTGGATTATGCTTTATTAACGAATAGTGAGATTAACCGTCACATTATAAAGCCTCCAGAGTTAAAAGGGCATATTCGCTAAAAGGTTTCTATCCTGCAGGTTACAAGTCGAGCACTCCAACAGTAAGATAGCAGTTGAAATGAAAAAGAAACAAGAATATGATGAATCAAAACTAAATTTACTTGAATATTTTTGCACAACATAAATACACAATTTTTAACGTATCCGTCCAAAAATAAATTACTCATCCGAAACACAGTTTTGTATATCTGAATACTGTTCTATTAGAAACAACGGTACAGTTAATAACTCCTCTCTTTTCAACCACAAAATTAACTAGAAGTTAACACGAATAATTTGTGAACTCCTACTTTTGGACGTAGACTCTCAAAATAAGTAACGGCAATAAGTAATTGGCATGGCGGTATGTCTGCAGATTTACAACGCTAGAAACCGGGTTTCGATACCCGTGGTGGGCAGAGCACAGAAAGCCCATTGTGCAGCTTTGTGCTTAACTTCAAACAACAACAACTCGTTTCTACCAACTTAGGCATTGTACACTACAAATGTAATAATGTTTATGTTGTTTATTAATGTGATACTTCTATATTAACAGGTAGAAAATATAAGGTTTGGATACGAGAACGTAATCCAATCTGATATGTTTGAACATTAAAAAAAACACAGAAACAACAGAAGTCTTAAGACATATTAGAATAAGTAAAAGGAATATATTTAAATGTTTTTTTTTCTGTTAAGTTGTAAACCCAACTCACTCTCATCTGTAATATAGATGATTATTTTTTTATTCAGTGGCCCTCAAGTAGGGTATTTAGTCTTGTGGTTGTTCTTAAGTTTAGGTTTCTTTGTTAACCGTTAGTTGATCGTGTGAGGATGAGTCGCTGTTAATTTTTCCCCAATCAAGCATTCTGAATTGGCCTCAAGCTTGTTTAAAATTTACTGTAATGAATTAATAGTGTTACGACAGCGGAAGTCACGTGACTTTGGTAACACATGATGATATTCTCGAAGGATCATGAATTTTCCTGGCAACTCTAGTTTGTTCCAGGCA